ATTCTATGTGCCCCATTTTACTGGTGAGAAAACTGAGGTTAGGAGAAGGAAAATGGTCAAGGTTACACAGTTAGTAAGTGGTGAAGTAAAAGCTTAATACTCAGGTTTCCTGACTTGACTTTCAGGGATCAGTCCACTGCTGTCACCAATGGTGCCAGATTTTTGAGAGTGTGACATGTTTGTCCTCATCTCTACTTCTATGTTATCTTACAAACATCATTTAAGGCATGCAGACCAGTCTGTGGTGGTGGGAATCACAGGTATTCTTTCTTTGATCTTGGGCAAATTCAGTTAAATTTTTAGATCCCAGATTCTTTGTCAGATAAAAACCAGTTAAATGCCTACTGAACAGGTGAGCAGAGTTGTTATAAGAATTAAGAAAATAATGTTTCTAAAATACATGGGTGGGTGCTCAGAAAATTAGTTTCTTCTCTTTCCCTAAAAGGCAAGAAAAAATACTTTCATTTTATATGTGATGAAGTCCCTGTACTTTTTGTATAACTGACTCACCCAACTCACCAAGCTAGCAACTGTCAGAGCAGTGATAGCAGTTCACCTCTTCCTCTTTTCAATCTACTCGTCATTATTTTTCATCATGTTATAGTGTCTTTTAATGCTCTCCATTGTTTTTCAGTTATTTTCAATTATTTACAAAATATATTTGCTTAAATACCTAAAGATGGAATAAAATACTTGTCCATTAAGTGAGAGAGAGCACAGGTGTGGGAAGAGCTGTGTTTGGAGTTAAGAAGCTGTGCTGAGCTCCAGGCAGATGTGGTCATGTGCCGTGTGAACTCAGAATAGGCTTCTAATTTCTCTTAGTCTGGGCTAGCTCATCCACAAATGCTATTTCAACTCAAACTTCCTGAGAACAACTCTGAAGTACATATCATTTCTAAGAGAGAAGAAAAAGCTTGTAAAATAATAGATTTCATTTACCCCATGGTAGATACTGTTAGCACATTGTTTAACAAAATGCTCCATTTAACCCCATAGAATGATACTTTTCCTGTTTTACAGATTGGGAAATGGAGACTAAAAGATTTGTCAAAGGGTTATAGAATTTATATTTGGTTGAGTTCTGCTTAATAGTTTGGGGGACTTAAATAGTTAAATGGGAGAAGGTGGGTAAGGTCTCTTTGGATGCCTTCAATTTACAAAATACAAAGGTTTCTAAAGTTCATTGTGTTTCCTAGAGGAACCATCAAAGACATGGATTTTTTTAGCATCAGTGTTTCTAACTGAGTCAGGAAAGATGGGGTTTCTTAATTTAGGAAGCCTGCATTCAGTGAAGATATTACAAGTGTCTCACCTAATTTGGCCTCAGCCTAGGGGCCCACGTATTTTCATGTGGGTGGATGGAAGTGAAAAAATGAAATGACTTAGCCACAAAGGACTATAATAAAAGTTTATGTCTATGTCAAGGGATTTTCCCCTTCATTTCTTCGTTCTTTTTCCTCCCTCTCCTCCCTTGCTCATCCATTTGCTAAGAAAAAAATAAGTTCTATACTTTCCCTGCTTTCCAGGAGCTTGCAATGTATTAGGGGAAACTTCCAAGTAAGAAAGCATTACAGTGTGATGAGCCTGCATGAGACGGATGCTGTACCATGATGACAGCTAGGTTACTATTGGCTCAAAGGTTGCCTATCAACTTGGCTTAGAGGAAGGAGTCAGGGAGGTTTCAAGATGAGGAGTCCCTTATGTAGAATTTTTTCTCCAGATGCTTTTGGTTGTAAGTAATAGAAAACCTATGTCAATGATCTCACCTCAGAGGGGCTTTTATTGTAGACACACAAGGGTGTCAAGTGATCAAGGATAGCAACATCATTGAGGTCAAGGAGAAACTGGATCCATTTATTTGAACATTAACAAGTTGTCTCTTCACCTCTCATTTCTGCTTCAGTCTTGCTGCAGACTGGCTGTCTCTGACTCTTGGTGTCTGACAGGAAGTCACTTACACTTCCAAAGTTTTATATCTTACAGTTTCAGACCCTGGAAAGAAGCTGCTTCAATAAACTGATTACAGTACAAAGTTTTGAGGCTGCCACTTTTGGGGAAGATATTCATTGGTTCACTTCTATGACAGTCAGATGTGGTTATGGGCAGGATTACTGAGAAACAGGTAGCTTCCACAGGATTTCTATCAGAGGAGCTGAAAGAGGCAGTTTCTAAAAGAAGGGAATTAGAATCAGGCTACTGGTTCCATAGATGAGTGGTTCTCAAAGTATGGTCCATGGAATCCTGAGGGTCTCAAGGCCCTTTTAGGGGGTCTCTGAGGTCAAAACTACTCTGTATATAATCCTAAGACATTATTTGCCTTTTTTTGTTCATTGCATTGACATTTGCAGTGATGTTACAAGAGCAATGGTAGGTGAAGCTGCTGGTACCTATGTATGAATCAAAGCGCTGGCACCAAACTGGAAGGTCATCATTGTATTCTTTAGTATCTTGCACTCCCAGCTAAAAATGCCAGTTTAATTTAAGAATGCATTTGAACAAACCATAAAACTATTAATTTTATTGAATGGTAATACTTTTTATAGGCCTATTAATATCTGTGTGCCAAAGTTGTTAGGCCATCAAGGTATTTTGCTGCATACTGAAGTATTAACACTGCCTTGAGAAAAAATTAGTTGCACTGTTGTTTGAGTTGAAAGCTGAACTAGCTGTCTTTTTTCATGAAACATACTTTTTACTTGGAACGATAACTTACAGAAAGCTATGTTCAGATTTGGGTTTTTAACTGATGTATTCATAAACAAACTAAACCTGTCACTTTAAGGAAAACAACTAACAGTATTTATTTCCAATGATAAAATTTGAGCTTTCAAATAAAAATCAGAATTTTGGAAAACTTGCATCCACCACTGTGAACTTGATCGTTCCTAATACTTAATGACTCTTCTGATGAGATTTGGAGCTCTCTTATCTGACAACCCCAAGTTTTCATTATGTAATCTGAGAACTGAGAAGAGGGAAAAATGAGTCTACACTATACTATTGATTAGGCTATAGTATAGTCTGTACTATACTATTATAGTCTCTTACTTGCATATTTCCCATATACTTGCATTTTTACTCCAATCCTCCCTACACACTGTGGCAGGATTAATTTTTCTAAAGTACACTTGACATCATTCTATTCCATTTGTTAAGAATCTTAATTTATTCCTTATAGCCTACTGAGCATTTACAAATGCCCACAAGCATTCAACACTCTTGCAATTTTACCAAGATCAAAATTTTCATACTTTCCATACCCTATGCTTTAGCTGAATAGGACCTCAATTCTTTTAGGAAATCTAATGTCTGCGTTTTTGTTCAAATTACAATTACATTTTAGAGTCCCTGCTGTGCACCAACATGGGCCAGTGAAACCTACATAAGTTACATAGGATTTCTTGAATTCTAGTCCTCTCTCAATATCAACATTTGATAAAATGTCTTAAGATCCAACCTTGTAAATATTGTATTACACAGTGTATGCTTAAGGTTATGTCCTTGCAATCCATGTTCAACCATCCATAATAGTCTTAAGGGAAGGAAAAGTTGCTTAGAAATGCAAGAGTCTGGCATGTACATAAATGTTGCCTCTACACCTCTTATGGAAAATTCTATGTTATGTTCCTAACCTGAGCCCTGTGCTTACTAAGTGGGCAGTTTTTGTTGTTGTCGATGTTGCATTGTTTACTGTTTTTAATAGTTCCTGCTTTGACCTGACTCTTAACAACCCAAATGTTTTTTGCTTTGAAAGAAGGCATTTCAGCATGATCTTCACACACACCTTTGTCTTTTATTAGCATATATAATTAACCTGACAAATAGAAATAAAAGACCTTAGGGGATTATCAAGTGCCAGGGGCTTCTTATTGATATGGAAAACTTTGTGTTCACATTGGCACACTGATGCTCTCTTTTGCTCTGGGCTCCTTCAAAAGGTGCCAAAATACCCAAGCTATTAAAACCTGTTTTTTTAATTTACTTCTATTTGTTGCCATTGGAACTGTGTTGTGGAAACAGAGTAGGCTAGAATGAAGTCTTTTCATTCTGAAATCTCTTCTCCACCTTTTCTCAAGATTGACAGAAAAGTATCATATGTATTGTGCAGGAAATTGGTTCAAAGACTGAATCAACTGTATGTACTATACAATTTGTAGGACATTGACAAAGTGCTATACAGTCCTATTAAAAGTTATATTTTGAACCTGAATTTCTTCATCAATATATGGAAAAAAAGCACCTAGAGAACAGTTGACTTTTCACCTCAGCAACAATCCTTTAAGAAAATTAGGGAATTCACTCTTAATTCGTATTATTTAAAAGGTTCAGATATGTTAAATAATTTACTTTGCTTTCTAACTCAAGGTGAGTAAATGCCCATTCTGAGATTCCATTCTGTCTTTCTTGGTTTCAGTTTTGTTATATAGAATAGGTGTCTAGTAATGATCCTACATCACTAGTCAATTTGGAGCACTAAATGAGATAAAAGATGTGAAAAATTCTGGCTTGTGGTAGGTGTTTCCTAGGGATTGGTCTTGAGAAATATACTCTATTTTCTATCAGTCTAGATTTTTCTCACCTTTGGCCAGTACTTTGGCTAGTTCATTTCATTGTCTGGTGGGGTAACACAGACCTTTATCCCTGATGAGAATTAGCCCTTAGTGACCTAACTCTGGTTGGGTTGTGGCTGTTGTCACCATCCATTGATAATCCTTACTTGGCATAGATATAGTAAAAGGCCCTTCAATGAATCTCTAGAGTTCTACATACAGTATTTCCTGCTGCTCTCATCATGTAGTGACTTCTTTCTTTGCCTACTGGTCCACTGAAAGGATGTGCCCGAAGTAGCCATGTCACAGTCACAGTGCTTCCAGTTTAGTGAAACCATCTCTGAGTTTGGTAGGTGTGTTCCCCATCCCCCAAAATAAAGTCGTGGGGGCAGAAAGCACAATTGCGTAAGTTGGTCCCCGGATGTCAGAGAGGTCAAGCTTACTTTCACTTCTTGATACCTGACCCATGGACTCTAGCTGTTGTAAACACAGTACTGTATATTGTTTTTTGATTCAATGCATATTTCATGTTCTGGAAGATAGGAAGCAAGGTAAGATGATCTGTTACTTATTATTCATTGCTTCACAACTGGGACAAATACAAATTCCAGATACCTTAGCAGTTGGGTCCACTCAGCCTCATGAAATATTTCCAGTCAGGCTATACACAGATCCCAGGCCTTACAGCATTCTAAAAGAAATGAGGAGAGAGATTTTTATTTGCTTGGCTTGCTCATATTTCCTTTGTCTCATGACTTAAAGTTAACCTCACTGGGACTTAACTCATGTGCACTTCTAAGTTATATCATCTTTTCCTTTGACTGATACATTATTATTGACAGTATAATATTATTAGTACTGTTATTATCATCATTATTACTACTTTATGTTGGGAGAGAGAGGGGTACATAAATTTATGCATATGGCTATATAGTTCTCTATCTCTATTGTCTATTTATCTATCATTTATCTACCCATTATCATCATCTACCTGCCAATCTATCATAGTAAACACAATGACAAGTATATTTAATGGGAATGTCAGAGCACTGAGCAAGAAGAATTAATCCTCTTGGGGATCAGAGGAGCTAGCTAGGAAAAGGGAAGAGGGCTTGCCTTGACAGTGAATTTCAGCCACAGGAACAATATAAACAAAGACTCTAAGTCAAGATCCAGCATCAAATGTGCAGGAGAGCAGTTCAGCACTGTTAAAAAAGAAATTTCAAACAAAACAGTCAAGTTAAATAAGAACAGTATTATGTAGGGACATGTTCTTCTATTGAGAACGTTGAAATCAGTTTAGATATCTGTAACTTACTAAGTTGTTACCCTTTATGTGCTTCAAATTTCTTATTTTCATAATGGAAATAATAACATCTACCTCATAATATTTCATTAGGCAGCTAGCAAGCAATCAGTAAATGTTAGCCATTATTAGGCATAAGGAAGCCATGAAGCATTTTCAGTTGTAGAATGACATGATCCAATTTATGAAACTGGTATAGAAAATGGATTGGAAGGAATTAGGGTTCAAAGTATAGAGAAAAATTATTGGCTGGTGTGATATTATAAAAACTCAAGAGGTGATTGTGGCCTAAGCTAGGCTAGAGTCGATAGGTAAATAAAGAAAATATTTAGTAAAAGTGAAAGAGTTATTCAAACTGAAGAGAAACCAGAGAATATGTGGTGTATTTATTTATTTACTTGATAAAGTTAAAAAGAAAAAAATCTCATTGCCTTCTGAGAAAATTTTCCTTCAAGTCTTTTTTTAATTGATAATTTCTTTTCTTCCTCATTTTTACATATATAATTTTTCAATGAACACCATTATCTCTGTCTTCATAATGTATCTTAAGCTTCTCAATTTCTCTCCATTCCGACATCTTTTTTACTGTTTTGTTTCTTAGGGAAAGAACTAAGTAACACTGACTTAAATAAAGAGAAGATAGAAGGGGAAAAAAGTATTTAGAAGGCAAAATGTGCAAGACTTTGTAGTTAAACTGATTGGAAGTGGTGAGTAAGGGGGAAGGCTGTCTGAGATCCCATTCAGGTGTTTGGCTCAGGTGACTCAGTAACTGTGATGGAATCAAGTAAGATGAATACAATAGGAAAAGAGAAGAAAACAGAGAATTTTAAGGAGGAGGACATTATCAATAGTCCTGAACTTGAAAGGGCCAGTAAAGAAAAGAAATGCATTTATTGCATTTGCATTAGTGATCTTAGTGATGGTACTTTCAGGGAAGTAGTTGTTATTATTATCTATTTCTTGCGAAAGGAAAAAAACACAAGACTCAAAGTTGTTGTGAGAATCCCTCAAGGTCACACAATTGGTTAGATCTAGAACCCAATGTGGGGTATTTATTTATTAAAAACAGCCACAGTGGCAACAACAAAAATCTTATTGAGTGTTTACCATGTAGCAGACACTGTCCTAGGTACTGGGAACCTCTGAAAAGTAATGCAGAATTCCTATCTTCAAAGACCTCATAGTTTTGGAATTGTTTCATAGAAACAGTTATGAATTTATAACAGAACTGTGTTCAGAGTAAGAGGGCAGTGAACACAAAGAAGGATGCTTTGCTTGGGATTTGCAAAAGTTTTCAAAGTGGTATAGTTGTTAGGCTGACTCTTGGCTGGGATAAATTGGGACAGAGGGGGAGACAAGGTGGGATTTTGGGCTTGAAAGCATCAGGTTCAGAGGTGTAGAGGTGACAAAGAGCTCAGCATTGCCAAGAAATCACAAGCAGTGCTGAATGTCTAGATGTAGGCTGCTTACTGGGGAGGTTCAGAAGCAACATTAAGGATTTTAACCTTATCTTTAAAGAAGAGGACCTTAATGGTAATCTTCAGAAGGTCTGTGGAGTCCCTGAAATCCTACTTATAATTTTACTTTTAAAAAAGATTTTATTTATTTTAGAGAGAAGGGGAGTGAGGAAGAAAGAGAGGAGGAGAAACATCAACGCAAGAGAGAAACATAGATCAGTTGTCTCTCACATGTGCTTTGATCAGGGACCAAACTCCCAACCCAGCCATGTGCTCTGACCAGAAATTGAACCATCAACCTTTTGCTTTGAGGTATGACACCCAACCTACTGAGCGACACCAGACAGGGCTTACTCATAATTTTCAATAGGTCTATGTAGTCTCAGGAATTATGAGAAAAGATTCAGGAAGAAGATAATGACTATCAATGTCAAAAGATAACTGTCAATGCCAAATAAGATATAGATCTTATTTACTTAGTAGGTAATTGAATTCTATAGAAAGAAGTCTGGGCAATCTTCAGATGATTGTATACTTTCTACTCTGCTAGACAGTCAGTGTAGGTTCTCTGAAAATTAGACCATTAGATGTTCAAGAGATGTTTTTTTTTGGATAGTGTAGGAGACCATTCTGTGTGGCATGGGTCCCCCAACTCCCACTCAGAGATGCACAGGACCCACATCCATGAATAGGTTCTCCCGTGGAGAATCAGGCCTGCAATGTAATGTACCTAGGCTGCTTTGAGACTTGCTTTTGCTAAAACTCCCTCACCCTGAATTGAGACACCAAGTGCTTACTGTAACTTCCTAAAATCCATACTAAAACTCCCCAATATGGAGTGTAACTGGTTCAACTACTTTTCCCTTTTCATTTGCAAATATCCTTCTTCTGTGATGTGATTAGCGGCACTGGTTCCTTTGTTTTCTGTAAAAGGTAACCACCTAAAGCCAACCTATGCATAGTAAATGAGGACCATCATGCAATGTGTGGAGAAACCAAATAAAGGCCTGTCATGGTGAAGGCCACAGCTTTTTGCCCCTTTTGAGAGAAAAAGCCATGCTGTCCCTCTTCCTCCACTGGACTTGGTAGTCCGTGTGAATGTCTTGTATCTCATCCACAATGTGGCGGACCCCACGAGCCTCTGCATCAGATGGGGCAGGGAATGCTTGTGAAAGATAAAGGGGAAAGGAGCAGAAGTAGGCAGGAAGAACTTAAAGATCATGATTCATGTCTGATGTATATGAAAAGAGAGAAAGAGGGATTCTCAGACTATAACAGAGTTCTGCGAATGGTTTGACTATGCTGATGTTGAGTGGCCAAAAAAAGGTTTCCTGTTAAAAAAAAGATCCTATTTGGGATTTTCCTGCCATTCCCAGTCATTGTCTGGAAGCAGCTTGGAGGAAGGGTGGCCTTGACATGAATACCACATGAAAACCAAAGGTGTGGCCACAGGAGGCCGCCAGTCAACTATGCTCTGCACTGCAGGTCTTTAAAAGGAAGGTCTGGCTGCTCCAAGGTATTTTAGACTCAGGGGAAACCAAATATAAGAGAATGTTGACTGATTATATCTATTGTGAGAATTGTTGAATAGGGTCTGAGCTGAGGACAAAAATCTAAGTTCCCACAACTTAAAAATAACTATCAAGTCCAGGCTGGAGTGGCTCAGTGGACTGAGTGCCAGTCTTCAAACCAAAGGGTTGCTGGTTTGATACCCAGCCACAGCACACGCCTGGGTTGTGGGCCAGGTCCCCAGTTGGGGGCACATGAGAGGCAGCCACATATTGATGTTTTTCTCCCTCTCCATCTCCCTTACTTCCCCTCTCTCTAAAAATAAAAAAAAAATCTTTAAAAAATAAAAATAAATGTAACTATCAAGAATTGTGGGTGGAGTCTGCCATGCCTTACCCAAACTTACTAAATTCTGCCAGAATTGGCTCTGCAACAATTAGATCCCTTCTTTCCCCAACTCTATTAAGGGAAGCATAGTGTTTTCAATTACATGAAATGTATGATATTTCTTCAGAAGTGCCCTTTCATCTGAAAGCTAGGAGTGAAGGTGGGAGTAGAAAGTAGCTCTAAGGAGTTCCTTGTTGAGACTGGAATAGTTACAAGATATGGAGACTGACATTTTGCTCTTGGATGAATGGACTTAAGCTAAAGAATCTTTAGCCTTATTTGGATGTTGTCTTGGGAACTTGGTAAGAAAGTTTTTGGAAGAGTTTGATGTGTGAGCCTGGAAAGTAGAAAGTTTAATTAGTACAGAGAATACCATTATGGGGTTTCCTGAATGTAGGGTGCTTGCTGGAGCAAATGAACCAAGAAGCAAAGGAAAGTCTATAAGATTATCTGACTGGGAATATAAAAGTGGCTTTTCAGTCCTCAGGACAATGAAAAGACAACCTTAGCAGCACACAGTGCTCCATGTGAAGGATCCCAAAGGTAGAGAAGGGGTAGGAGCAACAGGGCTGTTCAGGAGATTACCAAGCATGGAGACATCCACCTAAAAGAATGCCTAGAAACATACTATTGGCGTGGTTGTAGGAGTTGGCTGTCCCTCTCTGAGGGGCTGTTTGGGGATGTAAGGGGTGAGGAGGAAGACAAACATCACTCCAGGAAAGCCCAAAATATACCCCATTTCCATAAAGTTCACTCTATTGTCTATTTACTAGGTAGTGTGACTCTGGGTATCTTAATCTTCTTGCTGCAATTTCCTCAGCAGTAAAATGGAATAATCTCACAATAATATTGTATTAGTTGAGTTGGTACATGCAAAGTTCTTAGAACTGTC